GAAGGATTGTTACATAGCCCCTCTCCTCCTTTGAACTGAGTTACCCACACTCCTCATACAAATCCTTATTTCCGTCTGTTATAACATTATCCGTGCCAAAAGAAAGCGTTAACGAGCCAGTCACACATACCCCGCTCCTCTGAGATTGGCTACTTTGGCCCTCTCCAAAGCGTTGTCTTTGACATGAATATTGGGATTAGTGGAGAATTACTCTGTTTTTTAACGGATGCGTCCTAGGATATTGATTAAAATACTTGTCTGTAGTTGTGCACAATAGAGAATGTGGGATCAAACACAGATCCAAGCGAAGAGGATTCGCAAAATGACTCATTGATTGCTCCCTTCAATAACATGGTAAATAACTCTGACTTTGAGCATATTTACATAACTAACGATGGTATATTTTAAGCTGGTAATAGTCTGTTAGTGAGATACGTGACTGGAATAGACACCAAATGCGGACGCTGTTCTTATTCTTAATGCTGCAGAGAAGTTAGTGATTCTCTTGCCCGAGGTATATGCACTTAATCCGCACTTTAAAAGTTTGTTGCTAGCGGCGGACACCGAAGTTGAGGTAGTAACAAGGCTAAGTGTAGCCTGCATAGAGCACCCATTAGGCAAGAGAAGACATTGTATATGACCAATAGCTGTATTTTGAGAGAAAGCGAAAAGGTGAAGGTCTTGACGACCATAGAATTGATCGCCATTCCCACAGGCAGTCGATTGAGCCATGTGATCATACCCGCATTTAACACCGGTAATACTGGTTTCATTTTGTTGGAACATTCATATTGTATTACCGAGTAACAAATCGTCACCAAATCATAAGGAGTAGTAGCGGTATTTACGATTCATCGAGAGATTGCCACTGTAGTACAACGCCTTAATCGCCCGGTAGTATTACGTGTCAAAAATACAGCCGAATAAAATCAAATAACCATATTTTTGTAGTAATCGGTACTTTAAATATTCTAAGGCAATGTTTTAGGTCTCCGTCATTCCAATCCAATGAGGATTAAGGCCACTTTTCTGTCGATTACCCGGGCAACATAATAGTAGGTTACACTATTAGCCTGACTAAAATAGCTTGCAGAAACAATTACTACTCCCGTAATCCTTACGATAGTGGCATGAACTCAGAATTTTCGTTTCAGTGTAAAATTCAACGCAAAATAACGGCAGCGACGGAC